CATAGAATTAGATGTGGGCCAGTGGGTAAAATTAAAGGAAACATATTTAGATCAACATCTGGAGTATGCCATTCTAGAAAATAAAAAATGGTTTTCTATCAGTGGAGATGTGTACCACAGGCTAGGTGAAAACTGGCAGAGATACTATAGGTAAGCTTCTGAAGACAATTTAGGAGGTTTAATTACATAATGTTTAAGGGCACATTAAAATCTAAGATTCTAATATTCACTGATTTTATCTTTGAGTCTTCAGTTTGTTATGAAATTGAAGGCATGTGGTCCCATGCATATAGTAGATGCTTTTAAGTATGTTTAAGTGTAGGGAAGTAAAAGAAAAAAAATCTTGTTCATTAAGAAAACATATAAATATATAAAAGCCATGAAAGTTTGAAAAGGTATTCTACTGCTTGTGTTCAGAACAGCAGAGAATGTTTTACTTCCATCAGCACTATTTATATTAGTCCTGAAAAGAGATTTATGAAGATATTTTGTTAAATCCTGGATCTAAAACAAACAAAAAGGCTTCAAAACTACAGATTTAAAACATTATTAAATAAATACACTGCAAAAGAAAAATGTGCAACTTGAAAAAAATATCTGCAGGTTACAAACATTAAAAAATGGAAAAAGGTAGCAATAATTCAGAAGACCATCTGTTTAGCCATGATATATATATTTGCCAGCAAAACAAACAGGAATTACAACTAAAACGTAAAAATAAAAGATGGTGATAAAGAAAGCAAAAACTGACCGTCATAGGGTTGACTTACCCTATAAGATTTCAAAATATATCCCAATATAAAACATAATAGTCAAAACCATATGAACAGAATAAAAATTCCAGAAGTTGATTAAAAATATTTGGAGGACATGGGGTGCCTGGGTGTCTCAGTGAGTTAAATGCCCGACTCTTGATTTTGGCTTGGGTCATGATCTCAGGGTTGTGAGACTAAGCTCCAAGGAGGGCTCATGCTGGGCATGGAGGCTGCTTAAGATTCTCTCTCTCCCTCTCCTTCTGCCCTTCCTCCCCCACCTGCACGCTCACTCTCTCTCTCTAGAAAAAAAAAATTGCAGAACTTATATAGAAAGAAAAAAAATAAAACTGATATAACATGAGAGAAAGAATCACTAATAAATGATGTAGTAACAAATGCATAGCATTTATGACATCATACATTTGAACAAATTCTGGATGACTCAGTCATTCACTGAATCAATTCATTTATTAATTGTAAGAAGAAAAGAATGAAATGGTTTTTCCATCCCAGCTATGAGCTGGGGATAAAACTGGAGCTACTGAAGAAATGCATTTTATTACAAAAAATAATATTGTGAAATACAATATTATGTCATATAATGTCAAACTTCACTAATAGCTAGACAAATTACAAGAAAATACAAATAAAAGTTACAATAAATTACAGATTACAATATGATGTCTTCCACATAAAGTGGCATGAAATCAGGGAAAATGTTTAAGGCTGGAAAGACTGTGGTTAAAAGGGTGCTTGTAGATACTGCTGGTCAGAGTACCTATTGCTAAAAAAAACCATCAAAATGTTCCTACCCATTGGTTGGTTTCCACGTACTATTCCCTAATAGAAGAAACCAGAGTTCTTTGGAAAATGGCTTAACCTAGGGCTTGGGCAGGGGAAATGACAGCGGAACCTAGTCTACCTCATTGTGCTAGAGGGAAAGGGAGTGAGTAAAAAAAGGAAAGGAGGGGCACCTGGGTGGCTCAGAGGGCTAAGCATCTGCCTTCGGCTCAGGTCACGATCCCGGGGTTCTGGGATCGAGTCCCACACTGGGCTCCCTGCTCAGCAGGGAGTCTGCTTCTCCCTCTCCCTCTGCCGCTCCCCTTGCTCGTGCTCTTTCTCTCTCTCTCTCTGACAAATAAATAAAATCTTAAAAAAAAAAAAAAAGAAGGGAGTAAGTAGGAAAGAAAATAAGGGAGTAACTAGCCTATGGGGGGGCAACCTGTTAGAAGGCCACTGAAACCCACCTGAAAGAGCTCCTAATGGCTAACTCCAGAATAGTTTGAGCCTCAAATAAATATTATAATAATATTCTTAGATTATAAACTAAAGAATAGCATATGTATTCATGAGTCCACACTGATCTAAATACGTAACTGTAAAAATGCATACGTGGGAGAAGGGATAACTCTTCCTTATAAAATAATTCCACTTCTAGCAATCAAACTTAGGGGAAAACATCAGAGATGTAGTAGAAGACTTCAGCATTCAAAGATGTGTTATGTGTTAATGCAGTGAGATTATAATAATTACATTTCTAAAATAGTGGTTTCTCTTTTGACGAATTAGTTTACAGTCATTATAATTTCATTTCCAGAAAATGCTTCTCAGGAAATATCCATAATATAATGATATTCAGGATATCATTATAGTACATCTATATTTACAATGTGTACTCCAGTTTGGTTACAGTGTGTGTGTGTGTGTGTGTGTGTGTGTGTGTGTGTGTAAACATGGGGTATGTTAAAAATGTTTATATCTGATTGAAATAAAAAAATAAAAATCATACATAATCCTATTTGTTTTTCTTTGCAAATTTTCTAAATTATTATTTTTTCTAATAAAATTTAAAACTACAGGTAAATTGGGATACAATGTGTATCTCAAATATCTTTATCTGAAATAGTTTGGGAGATAGGGTAGGTAAATACATGACTTTTGGTTATTCGTTTGCTTTATATTAGCACCAAAAACCACTATTAATTTCTCTACTGCACTGCTTTATGTGACAAAAGTCAGGGTAGAAACTGAAAATGCTTTTTCCTAACTTTAAGAAGAAGACTATAACAAGCATAATAATTATTTTATTAATACATTATTACATAATAAAAGTAAATTATTATTAAATAATTGAGCTAATCAATCTCACTCCAACTATGCAGCATCCATAATCTATTTGAAGGATACTTGAGCACAGATCCATCTGTAAAACATCTATTTGTATGTGTTATGCATCTTCTTTTAGGTACCAATGTCCTCTCCAAAACATGCACTCTAAACACAATTGTCTAACATGTAAAATGTTAACAAAAACTTTAATTTTGAAATTATTTGACAATATGATGTTAAATCATTATTAGACTAAGGTATATATTTTATTTTGCACATTTAAATTGTTTTATCGCCTGATGATGTTTATAACATAAAAAAGAATGGATGAAATAAATATGGATCATAAATTGAAAATAAAATCACTTAGAGGGCACTATGCTGTAATTTGACTTTAACCATCCACAAAGTCCATCTAGTTGTGAATTCTACATTGACAGCAGCTTCTATCTGGTTTTAGACTATATTCAAACAATGCCTCATGTTCAAATGAACGTGATTCACCTAATCTTACCAAATATTTACCTACCAAATAGTTTTACTTTTTAAAATGTAATTTTGGTCCCACAGATCCAACCTTCTGATACAATACAAGATACAGGTAAAATATATAACTTCAAATATTCTGGAACCCTTGTCAATGAGAAGTTTTGGGGAACATCAAAACAAATGTGGCAAAATTCAGTACCCCTCATCTTAGTTCTGCTAAAAAAGTATTATGCCTTGAAAACCCATCAATGCACAGAACAAGCCACTAAAATGGATTCTGCTTCCTTACCTCATTTTCCAGAGCTCAGCACAGTGTCTGGCTTACAGATGATAGTCAATAAATGTTCAATTAAAGAAAACTGAAGTATACTACTTCTTTATGACATAAGTTATGACAAGCTTTCACTTTGATTCATGTAAAAGTTATGGAGCTGACATAGAATCTAACTGACATTAGATCCATTAACTAATAAAACTGATATTGTTAAAAAAAGATCCCCATATATAGTTAAACCAAGTAGGTATAAGCGTAATGAATATTAGTATAAACTTTCCCATGTGAATGTACTATGGAAGATGAGGACCATCTACCGTAAAAAAACTTTAGAAAGCCATCGTTTACAAACATAATTTAGAAATAGTTCTCCTGTTAATCAAGTAATGAAAGATTGATGTTTCACATAATTAAACTCCTGATGAAAATGTGAGTAATAAAAAATCAGGAAAACAAATTGGGAAAACATAAATTTAATTTTATAAGTGTCCATATTTCCTTCTGACTCATTTTCTTAAAGTAAAAGGAAATGCAGATTTCAGAAGAACAGAGTAGGGCAACACTGTTTATTCCCTCCAAACACTTAAGATACCAAAAGGGCTGGAACAACTTTAACAGCAGTTCTTATCACTGTAAAGAAATGCAGATATTTGTCTGGGTTTTTGACATCAAAATTAATCAAATTAACAAAAAAAATTGATGAAAAAGCCATTTATAGGGACACAACCATAGTTAAAAATTTGACTAAGCCATACTTCTGTGTGTCTACCTATACACACACACAGACACCTACGTGCATATGTAACCATGTGTGTGTATACATGCATCCATGAAGACTGAGACTTACTAATATGTCTTGGGAATAATGCACAAACATACTCTTCTTATATGGAACCAAACCTTCTTAATGTTTTTGAGATAATTCACAAAAATATTCCCCAGAATAAGGCAATAAGTATTTTATCATACTGCATTCTTTTCAGGAACCATGATGAGATACTCTGTCCTGATATCCCTAGAAGTTTCTAGGAGTTTTAGGAGCAGATGCTTGTTTTGCTTCCTAATAAAAATTTGGAGGAATGTGTCAAAGTAGATTAAACTATGTCAGAGTCTTTAAAAGAAAACCCTGTTCTTCTTTCAAGAAGGTTTTCGTGTAGCAAAAGAAAAAAAAATGAGCATTGCAAGCAGTTCTGAAAACACAACTGAGATGCAATTTGAGAAATAGCCTTCTATCATCTAAGCCAGAGCAGTGGAAAAGCATGCTATCAGCACTTTCATCAAAGGTACTATTGACTCCTCTTTTTCTATCTCATTTTATCATGACTTTCTCATTTTGTTTACTCGTCAGTGATTGGGAAAAAATGACTCCTTACCCCTTGGATGAGTTATGATGGGGTCCACTAGAGAAGGGTCCTTTTCTCCACCTTTGCTGCCGCCACCACCGCCTTCACCACCACCATCTCTTTCAATCAGTTTATCCACCATGGCAATAATGCAGTTCAGGCTCTTCCCCACATTGGCCCACACCCTATCCTGAAAAGAGCATGAGTATCACTACACATTTTTATCGCAAACACAAGATAAGGCAAAATCTGACAAATCCATTTTAGAGAAGCAGGTAGAGGAACAATTTTAAGAACGCAGACTCAGTGATTAATTCTCATACTCCCATTAATTTGGCCAGACTATGAATATACAAGAAGAAATGTTTTCTCTTAATAAAGCAAAATTTAAGTGCTATAAATTTTTTATTTAGGGGTTCATTATTTTTTCTAAGTCATAAAGCAATGATGAACTACTGTGAAATATTAATCCATAATTGAACACAACCTATGATATTTTAAACTGGACATATCTGTTTTCCTTATCAACACTTGGCAAGAAAGCAAAGAGACACCAGTGTTTTTAAAGAATAGCTATAATTTGCATTCAAAATTCTTGTTTTTCCTTTTTATTGTGGTAACATATATAACATTGTTTACCATTTAACCATTTTTAAGTGTACAGTTCAAGGGCATTAAGTACATTCACATTATTATACAACCATCACCACCATCCATCTCTAGAATTTTTCATCTTCCCAAACTGAAACTTTTACCCTTTCAAAATGAACTCCCCACTCTTCTCTCCCCTGCCACTGGCAACCATCATTGTACTTTCTGTCTCTATGAATTTGACTGCCCTAGGTAACAGAAGTTCTTAAAGTGTGGTCTTCACATCACCTCTAACAGAATGACCCAGAGAATTAAAATACAGATTGTTGGCTCCTACTAAGTCAGTCAGAACCACTAGGAAGAAAGCGTTCTACACTGAAATTTTGACAAGCTCTTCAGGTGCTTCTGACCACTCTAAATCTGAGAACTTCTACTCAATATTATGTGCTACAGCCATTAATGTCATTGTGGCTGATTTATTTCTTAGGAAGCAACCCCTACCACGAGGGGGCCTCTTTGTCACTCAACTTACCAATTCTGATTAGCATCCATTTTTGTTTAGGGCAATTCATGACACTGAATTCTTTGATTCATAAAAGTTGTTATTTCTTAATACAAAATTTAAACATAGTTATCATTATGGTAGTCTCTCATCCCTAGCTTCCCTTTTTGCTCCTCTCTCCACATCATTTAGATGGAGTCACTGACTCCCCAACTGTGACGGCTAATTTTATATGTCGACTTGATTGGATCACAAGACGTCCAGGTATTTGGCTAAACATTATTTATGAGTGTGTCTGTAAGAGTGCTTATGGATGAAATTAACATTTGAATTAGTGGACTCATAAAGAGTTTGTTGTCCTCACTGTGGGTGAACATCATTCAATCCATTAAAGGCCTGATAGAACAAAAATGTGGAAGAAGTCAAGATGTGATCCTTCTTGCCTGATTGAATCAGGACATTGATCTTCTGCCCTCAGCACTCCTGGTTCTTAGGCTTTCAGACTTGGACTGGAATATACATCACTGGCTCCTCTGTTCTAAGGCACTTAGACTCAGACTGAATTCCACCACCAGCTTTCCTGGGTCTTCAGCCTGCAGTTGGCAGATCTTGCAGATGGCATATCCTGGAACTTCTTGGCCTCCAAAACTGTGTGAGACAATTCCTTATAATAAATAATATAGATCTAGGGGCGTCTGGGTGGCTCAGTCGTTAAGCGTCTGCCTTCAGCTCAGGTCATGATCCCAGGGTCCTGGGATCGAGCCCCACATTGGGCTCCCTGCTCCGCGGGAAGCCTGCTTCTCCCCCTGCCTCTGCCCCTGCTTGTGTTCCCTCTCTCGCTGTCTCTTTCTGTCAAATAAACAAATAAAATCTTTAAAAAAAAATAATATAGATCTTATTGCTTTTGTTTCTCTGAAGGACCTGAGTACACATGTTAGGTGTATCTTACATATCACATAAGAACCAAATGGATTTATGGTGCTTTTCTTGCATCTTTCTCTGTAATAGAGCTATTTCAGAGCTATTTGGAGTAGCACTTAATGCAAAGATCATACTCAATTATAGTACTTCTTTAGTAGTTTATACATTTTTACCCAAAAGCATATTTTTATCCAAGATAATTTTGCTAGTTTATAAACAAAGAAACTAATTTTGGGTAGGATAAATCTAGGAAGAAAGAACTATAGTTGAGTTTAGATTATTGGATGGTTGTCTTATAAAGACTAAATTAGTTGAATAATGTAACAAACAGATATGGGACTGTACAGATATGCATACTAGAGTAGAGGGGGAAAAGTAGAACATTCCAAGTTTAAAAAGTTAACTTCGAGGTCCACCTACATGACATGCTACCTTGGGAAAACCGCCTCATTTCTGGGGAGTCACAGTTGGTTCATCTACAGTTTAGAATGCCCTGCTTACCTCACCATGCTGCAGTGGGAGTCAAATAACATAGTCTCTATGGAAGTGTTTGGAAAATTATTACAATTTGGCAAAACCACATCCTATTCTTACTGGTTTTCCTAAATGAATCAAACTTGCTTTTTATCACCTTATAATCCTGGGTCTGAAATATGCTATTAATCCTAAATAATCATAAAAATGTTTCCCTTAAAGGCAGATTTCTTCCACCAAAAAATTAAAAGTACTTCCCTTCTAAGGGAAACTAAGACACCAATCACATCCATAAATTGCTTTATGCCCTGCCTGTTGTCTGAGAAAATAAGGTGGAGGTACCTCTGAGGTAGGACCCAGGAGAGCTAACAAAGCTCACTTCTTCTGGGATGAAACATGGGGAAAGGTAAGCAAACTGAGGTCCTGACATCACTCGTATTGGGATTTGGTGAGGAGCTTACGTTTCAGACCACAGTAACAAACTTACTGGCCCCTATTCTGAATATGGCTTAATTTCCACCAGCAACTACATCTTTAAAGTTGTTGAATGGAAAAATGAAGTGACTCTCCCACTAACACTGGGAATAAACTCTGTTACTGAGGGGGAAAAAAAAGGGTAGAGGATTATTCTTTCCAGATTAGCTTTGTACGTGAGATAAATTTTCAACTCTCTTCTTGTTGCCCATGTTGAGAGGAACCTTATATTCTGATCAAAAATCAAGTAGTATTGCATGCTGCCTTTCTTATAGAAAGTAATATAAGGGGTTAACCCACTTCCCTTAATTACATCTCCAAGGGCCAGAATATAAGAATATATAAAAGGATAATTTTACATTCTACTCCTATATATTGTTCTTCCTCTATAAGATACTTTGGGCTATAGGATTATACTCACAGAAAAAGTAATCTTTGCAGCCAGTTAGAGAGAACTTTATTGACATGAGATGCAGAGTGAAGTATGTTCATTGGATGAGACCAACAACCATATGGTAAGAGGTTAGGTGGCAAACAGCAGCAGAACATTTGAGTCATTAAATACATAGAGGACACACAAGCTGGGAGGATGTTTGTTGGGGGTGAGAAATTGAGCAGTTTCTTATGCAAGACAAACACATAATTCTTACATAATCAAATTTTTTTATTGAAGACACACTCAGCAGGAGACCCCGAGCGGACTCAAGCTGGTCTTTATCTTTTGGAGAGGAGGTCCTGCCTAGCTGGTGGGGAGAGAATGCTGAGTTTTGCTAGTCACTGCTTCTTTTTGCTTTATGGCATCTACAAAGTAGATTCAAGTCATCCATTTGCATTGCTGTCTCTCATACTAGTCTATGAGTTGTTTGAGGGCTGTGTCTTCACTACACTGCACAGGGCCTGGAGGAAAGGCAGAGAGAGAGAAATGGAGTAGAGGAGAGAGGAGAACAGACATGACTCCGACCCAGAGGCAGATTGAGAGCCGCTATTTATATTCACCTGCTATATGAAATTAGCTAATCTACCTTCAAAACCACCACATAAGATCAACATTATGGACTCAGTCTTTAGAGGTGAGGAGACTTAAGGTAAGAGATATTGAATAGCATTCCACATGAAAATGGGTATAACTAAATTAGAAATCCTGTTTGGTTTCAAAGACTTGATTCTTCCCCTAGGATTTCCCACAGAATTGTGGCACACAGTAGGAATTCTTCTTTGTGAGATTACTAGAACTCTGGGGACAAGCCAGACAGAGGAAGGTCAGGAGAAGGAGCCACAGGAAGGATCAGGCAGAGGTGTGTGTCACTTTACATGAACAAGAGTAGGTGTCAGTTATCTGAGACTTGAAAATGAGTCCAATGGCAAATCACTAAGAGATGACTCTGAAAAAAGTCTGGTCACATTGTACCCTTAAGTTTGAAATCAAGAGGGTCATACAATCAAGGATAGAACAATCACTTAGCTAAAAGGTCATTGAACCTGGGTCAAAGGACATAAGTGACTAACATAAACAGAGGACAGACTGTGTCAGCATCAAAACCCAAAATCTATTCATGTGACTGGGAATGGGTTATAGGGAGGAAAGATAACTCAATTTCTAGGAGATAATTATTAATTATTATTAGCAAAATCATTATTTTGAAATTAGGATGCTAAAAATGGATAGGCAATATTCTTGAAGGGAAACCTTAAATACCTGATTTCTCTCCTAAACAAACACTTTCCATAATATCTCTGTGAAAGCATTCACACAAAGGAAAATGATCACGGAAAATGCATTCTAATTCTGATAATTTTCACTCATAAGGACAGTCCACGTAGAAGCTTCTTTTTGTTTAGATTGCGAGTACGGCTGGAGCCTACTCCATTTTCTCCCTCCTAAGATCACACAATATGTTTCAGATTGCTCCCACGAAGAAAAAAAGGCTGGTCAGTGGGGCGAAGACAGTGGAAGCATAAGAATGTGGCTACAGTCCATGGTGCTTCCATCCTTCCCCTTTTCAGGTCAGGGATACTACTCTAGTTCCTGCTTAGCTCCTCAGCCACTTGCGAGGTTTCAAAACAAAACAAAATAAATCAAAACCAAAACCAAAACTAAACTAAAACAACAACCTATCAGAAAAACAGATTGCTGGGCCTTTTTCCTCCCCCAGAAATAGCAGTCATTATCCTGCTATGTCTCCTGCTGAAATAAGTAATGGAAAATTGGTGGGTTACAGTCTAACCTT